CACTCTATTCAGCGCCTGTCCTGGCACAACCAGATTTTACTAAGGAATTCGTGATCCAATGTGATGCATCCAAGATTGAAGTAGGAGGCGTGTTATTCCAGCTCGATGAGGAAGGGGCAGAGCATCCCATAGATTTCGTATCAAAAAAGCTTAATAAAGCTCAGCGAAATTATACGGTCACCGAGTTGGAATGCCTCGCCGCAATAGTAAGTGTCAAGCGTTTCAGACCATATATTGAAGGATTGCCTTTTGGAATAATTACTGACCATTCAAGTCTCAAGTGGGTAATGACACAAAACGACTTGAGTGGCAGGCTGGCAAGATGGTCACTGCTGTTGCAACGATACAACTTTGGGATGAAGCATCGCAAAGGTTCTTTAAATGTTGTGCCGGACACCCTTTTGCGTTTCGACGTGGACGAAAACTCTTCTACCCCACCTATAAAAATTGACTTGGCATCACCGGAATTCGACGGCATAGAGTAATCGGAGCTTCGTTAAACAATTGAAAACAATCACGAAGGGCTATCCGATCTACGCATAGTCGACAATAGACTTTACAAAAGAGTGATGTTTCGAAGAGGTGTGGAAGAGGAAGAGGATTCGCTCTGGCGTTTGTGGTTACCAGAAGGGCTGACGGAGCTTGCAATCTAATGCTCACACGATTCCAATGCTAGTTACCATGGAGGTTGGCAGAATACCTTGGAGTGTGTTCGGCAGAAGTATTTCTGGCCACAGATGGCAAAAGGCATCCGCCTCTATGTGAACGGATGCGGAACCTGTAAAGCCGTGAAAGCCACCAATCAAGTGTCCAGACCACCTATGGGCAATGCCTTCGTCTCCGAGAGGCCATTCCAGCGTCTTTATTTCGTTTCGTAGGACCATATCCATGATCAAAGCGAAGAAAGCAGGTTTTGTTCATAGTGTAAAACCCTTTTTCCAAATACGCACTTTTGAAAGCGATGCAAAACGCCACGTCCGCCAATGTAATAAGCTTCTTCTTAGGACAGAAATTTTTCCAGCTTCTGGGGTCCCTCAATTCGTCCATAGTGATAACGGGAAGCAAATTCATTCCGAAGGAGATGCAGCAGTTTTTGAAAACGATTGCCATACGTCGATTCAGAGCTCCACGCGTAATTGGACAAAATATGATGCAACATGCGTCAGCCTATAACATCCTGGAGAAGCTTGGTAGCCTAAGGCAAGACGAAGTCCCTATTACAAGCAGAGCTGACAAGCCAGCAAACATTCGCGAAAGAACCTTGAGTAAGCGCAAGACAGAGCAGCCAACACGTACGACAAACGTACGAGAGTCTTGAATTACCGGTTAGGACAAGAAGTATTCTGGAAGAACTTCGCTCTTAGCAATTTGAGAGTTTTTTTTTATTTGGAACCGTCGAACGGAACGGACGTGTTTTTTCATCTCGCACGTCTTACTTCGCAATAATCGCTTCAACTGTTGTGTTGTTCCAGTCAATTAGTTATTTAATTTTAATTCAAATAGTTAGTCGCGGGTCAGTGTAACTAATAATTTTTTTCTGCACCTTAAATTTGGCGCTGTGTAATTATTATTTATTTGTTCATCGGTAAATTCATAACAAATTGCTAAAGCACTTAAGCTTGACGAAGGTAATTCACTCGCAGCTGGGTTTAGGAAATTAAAAGAGATTGAGGAGAGAGTTCAGCAGCAGACGGAACAGTTGCGACCGCTAATTGAGAGTGTCTCACACAAACTGGCTTAGGTGGAGAAGAAACTGGCAAAGCGAGTTGCTCTACGGTAGTTGAGTCGTCTGCCGCATATCTGTCTTGGAGGGGAATGTGCAAAAGGCAGAGGTGGACATAGGGATGCAAATTTTCAAAGCCAACATCGATACATCGATATTTCGATGTATCGTAAACACTAACATCGATGCCGAAAAAAATCGCCCCAAAACTATCGATACATCGATATTTTCCGATGTTTCTCTTTTTTAATAAGTATGTTACAGGTACTTCATGATTTGCAGGTTTTTACAGGAAGCTGTTAACGTACGCCACCTTCCATAAGGTTTATTAATGGCGAAAACCGCTTTACCTGTAAAACCTGGAAATCCTGAAATACCTGGAACCATCGGTGTAGCCAGAATGAAATTTAGGGGGGGCTCGACCCTATTAAGCTGGCATTTCAGGGTACTATTTTATATATATATAAGGAAAATTTGAAAGTTAGGGGGGGGAGAGGTCGAGCACCCCCCTGCCCCTACCTGGCTACGACCATGCCTGGAACTGACTTAATGCTTGTTAAAATTTTAAGAAAAACCTAGTGTCCAACTAAACTGCTACACTGTTAACATTTCAATGGGCGGTTTTTTGAATTTAATTAGATTTCCTTCCAATGTCATAATAGATTTGCTGTTTACGCGCAGATAATACTTACACTCACCTTAAGTCGTGTTGAAATACTGTAACTACGTCATGGAAATCGCCTATGTTCAACGTTGCCAATTGCTTTTATTAAGTGCAGGGCTGCCATCACCCGTAATACGCTTACCCAAAGGGCTCTGTCCCACGGTCAGTAATTATCACGATATTTGGATCGCGATCCATATTGATGGATTGATGGATCGCGCATGAATGCTACATGTTCAATATTTAGCGCGTCGGTATTTGCATATTTTTTTTGCTGGACGCTTATTATGACGCAAGCAAATATTTTTATTTTGAACGTATAATGTACAGATAATGCATTTATTATTTATGACAATTATTTTAAGATTTGTTCAATTTGTTTTGAAAGATTTTAAGCCCCGAGAGTGAAGGCAGAGCCGATGTTTACATTATGAGATTAAAAGATGTACTAAAGAAATGTATGGATCGCGTTTTGAAAGTGCTACACGCTCAATATTTATTGACGGTATTGCGATCCGCGATCCAGATTTCAAAATTTTTAGAAATTTTGCGATATGGATCACGATCCATCAATACTGCATACTACAACGTCAAAAAATATCGCGATACTTGGATCACGTCAATAAATACTGACCGTGTGACAGAGCCCAAAGAATACAACATAAAGATGTGAACGCAATGGTAATTTTGAACCGAAACTAAAGTCGATGTTTAAAACATCGTTAAAATTGACATCGATATATCGCCAATTTTACGATGTTGAGTAATAGGGCATTCGCACGCGGCGATTTTACAGGCAACAAAAGTTTAATACGAAGTTGAATGAGAAGTTGAAAGTGAAAAAGTTGCCATCCCTATTCAGACGAGGCGATTTTCGATTCAACACGAATCGTTATTTACATTATTCAAAATGAATTTAAATCGCAAAATTTGATCAATTGGCATAAATTTGGTAAGCCAAGTGTTGGTAGAAGTGCTTTTAGCGAAGCTGAAAGATAAAATAAGAGTAAAAAAGTAAAAAAGAAAAAAAAGTATGATGCAGAACAGTGTTGGCATTTTTGGTACAATTGTACTTGTTTTATACAATTTCATTTACAATATACTTTCCTACTACGCAGTACTTTTTAGTAAAATTTTGTAATGAATACTAAAAATATATAGCTCTGAAAATTCACAGCAAGAAATATTTTGTATTCTCTTTGGTTCGTCTGTTCGTATTTACCTTTGTAAGTTTTGAAAAATGGCTTCAACGAACCAGTATAATATAGCCTAGTCAAATTTTTAAAGAAACTTTTCGATACTAAGTTTTATTAAAACAAAATGTCGAAGTCAGCTTCATATAGAAACAAAGTCTTCGTTAGTTATAAGAAGAGATTTTCGTAAATATAATACCTTTACGGCACTCACATATTGACAAGATTTTACTATTTATTTTATTATTCTTTAATTTTAATTATCTGTTTATAAAATATAATGTATTCTTTAAGAAAAACTGTACAAACCTAAGATTAAATCTCTGCGAAACATCCAAAAACCAACATACTTTCGTAAAAATTTCTAGCTTTATTAATATTCTTTAGTTTTTAGCCCATTCAATTTTAGTATAATAAAGTTCAAGTTTAAATTAGCTGGGACTTACCGTTGAACTTGGCATTTTTTTTGTCGACGATGTCAGCCATTTTCTTCCATACGAAGTGTGTCCGACGATTTTTTTATATGGAGAAAACTAGCAACACCTTTATCAAAGAAATCTTAAAAAACTTAGTTATATTAAAATTTAATGGGCTAAAAAACCGCACGCTCAAGATAAATCTAGGAAATCGAATTAAAAAGCTCGAAATTTTTACGAAAGTGTGTTGGTTTTTTTTAATGTTGCACAAAGTTTGAACCTTTAATTTGTACAGCTTTTCTTAAAATATAAACCGTATTTTTACAAAAAATAATTAAAATTGAATACTATTAAGATAAATGGTCAAATCTTGTCGTAAAGTTTTGATAAGCACTTGAAATGCTATTAAAATGTCAAATTTTAGTACTGAATCCAAAGGAAAATGTCTCTTTTATCCATTAGTAATAACTTAAATATGCTTTTTGTTAAGATGTATACCTGAAAATGTGTGCATACATATTTGCGTTAAATGCAGTACATGTGCATGTGGAATCAATTTGTAAAAGTTTAAACTACGTAAACGTATGTACATAAACAATAAAACTTTCTCATGAATACCATAAACTCATTGGTCTTGAAGGGAATGTACTAAGAAAATATATGAGCGAATTAAAAAGTGTATATAATTTATAGCCGAAAAGTACATTTTTTGTATAGATTTCGTACTGAAGGAACAATTTAATTTCCCCAACACTGATACAGAATGTAAACAAACACAGGGTTGCAAGGAAAAAAAGTTGAACGAGCTCAAAGTTGGCTGGCGACCAATTTTGTTGAAAGCGATTAGTTGAAAGGCCGTTCGGACGAGGCGATTTTTGCTTTCAACTAAAAGTTGCCTGAAAAATCGGCGCGTGCGAAAGTCCTATAATTTTCAAATATCGATGGTAAACATCGGTTTTTTTGGCCGATGTTATCGATGTTTCAGAAATATCGATGCATCGTTTGCATCCCTAGGTGGTTGCATTAAGAAGGAGTTAGAAAGTGTAATGCTTTTGGTGTACCATTCAAAGAAGGGGAAAACCTTAAGAGTATTTTTAACCAAGTTTGTCTTTCTATTGACTTCTAGGCTCCTCAAATTAGGGATATTTTCCGCACAAAATCGTCAAGTGAAAAACTCGACAGTGCAATTGTGATTAAATTTCACTCCCCTCTCGATCGTAGCCGCACTTTACGCGCCTTTGGCGAATATCGCAAGAAAACTAAATCGGCGGTCCCCCCCTTCACCCCCTTGGCATTGCTGGCAGCTTTCATATTTTTGAGGGCCTCACCAAGGAGAATAGACGTTTACTGCAAGAGGCCATAAAACTGCGTCGTGAAAGAAAACTGCTAAAGGTGTATACATTTAGAGGTTTTGTGCATGTGAGAGATGAAAATAATAATAGCATATCAACAAGATTAATCAGCGATGATGACCTGCTGCCGTTTCGTTAGATGTATAGTTATGCATATATTTTCAGATATTTTTTGTTGTATTTTATATTTATTAAAGATAGCGCTTTTCTTGTTTCTGTTTTTCGTCATTTCTTCACTATCTTAAAGTTGTTTTTGTTTTTGCTTTTCCTAACTGTTATGACGAATAAATTAAATAGCCTTGCAGTACTTAATATTTTATGCAGCCGACAGAAAGGCTTTAATGTGGTTCATTTTAATGCACGCAGTTTAAACAATGAGAAGATGGATGTTGTTAGGAGGACTTTTGAATATTCGTGTATTGATGTTATTTGTGTGTCGGAGACGTGATTTAGGGCTGGTATATGTGATTCACACTTTTCCATTAATAATTATAAGCTAGTTCGGGCCGACAGATTAGATAAGAAGAGTGGTGGAGTGGCGATGTATTGCAAGAAATATCTAAAAACTCGCCTAGTTTCGCAATCGGTTGGTAATACCACTGAGTATTTGCTAGTTGAGGTATCTAATTCTTCATCAAAGGTCCTTTTGTCGTGTGTGTATAACCCTCACAAGTGTTGTAGCGTGAATGCGTTTTTTAATATATTGTCTGTTATAGCTGTCGATTATGATGATATTATCTGTGGCGATTTTAATATAATGTATGTGTCTAGTGTTGGTCTATCTATTGTAAATCTGTGTGTACCTACAAGGTACGGAAATAACTGTTGTCCTTGTCTGTTTGATTACTTCATTGTTTCTGATCCGTCTACTGTGTTAAAATTTGGCCAGATGTCGTTTATTTTTGATCGCAATCTAATTCTCTGTGCATTTGACACCAGTTTTAGTCATAATGTAGCAGCTAGTCTACATAACTTTCCTGACTATCGTCTGATAAATATTGATAGTCTATCTGCTGACTTATCCCGCATTGATTGGAGTGGTTGTTGGAGCCTAAGCTCTGTGAATGAAAAGTTGAGATTTCTGAATTAAAATGTTGTAAGCTTATTTAGGGCTCATGTTCCAGTACGCACTCATCTCAATCGATCACCGTCGTGCTTTTGGTTCAACAAAGTCGTTCGGTCTATGATTATAAAACGTAACAAATCGTACTCTATTTGGAAGAAGAACCGAACCGATATCAACTGGCAAGCCTATAAGTCTGTACGAAATAAGACAACTGCTCTTATTAAGTGTGAAAAGCGCAAGTTCTTTGGTAAAATGTTAAACCCACCCCATCCGAATAATGTTTTGTGGCGTAATCTAAAAAACCTTCGTGTACAGTCCAATTAACTTTGTTATGCTTGCTAGACTTCTCTAAAGCCTTCGACTCGGTCAACCATAGACTACTTTGCATAAAATTACGTAATAACTTTGGCTTCGGGGAGTCTGCTGTACGATTGATGAGCAGCTACCTAGAAGGTAGGACTCAGCGTGTAAGGGTAGGTACAGAATATTCTAGTCTTAAACCTATGTGTACTGGTGTACGGTGCAGCGAACAAAGGTGGCGCCGTCAGTGGTACCGCTACTTTGGTTTTGCCGATTTTGAGAGTTGTGGTAACTTGTAAATAAACCTTTGTTTACAAATCAGCGAAGAGAAATTTGAATTATAAGTGAAAAATCAGTTTAAATTGTGTTAATTTGCAATTTGTGAGTGATTTTTGAGTTGAAGACTGATGTGTGTTAAATTGCGACAGTGTAGCGCTGGGACGAATCGCTGCATTTTGTGTACATAGGTCACGGCAAAGCCGTTCTCGAAATGTTTTTTATTATTACAATTAACAGCATTTCCTCACAATGATGTTGCTTCTGCTCCAAGCAGCCTCCATTAGCAAGTTAACTAATCAATCCCGCTGAGATGCTGCCGCAGTTTTCTGCAGCAGCCTTAATTGCAAAGCAATGGAGTGCACTAAAACGTTTGCTGAAGCAGCAGAATGCAATATTTTCGCATTTAGCAAAATTAAAATACGTTTTTCGCTGTAAAGTGAACTGTTTTGGCAGTTTCAACTCGTTCTTTTCGCTCTATTCTTTGTTTACTTGTGGTACACAAATGTCAACGCCCAGGACGGCGCAATCTTGTATTCTATCATTCTTGTACTGGTGTTCCCCAAGGCTCAATACTGGGACCGCTACTATCCAGTTTATTTATTAGTGCTGCAAAAACATCGATGTTTGAAACTATCGATCTTTCGATGGTTTTGCCAATAATACATCGATAGTATCGATACTATCGTGTTTCTTGGAAACTGTTTAGGGTTGAAATCCTGACCAATTAACAAACATGATTTTGTAACAAATTAACTTTATTATTTTAAAATTATCCATTCATTAATTTAATGTATGATTTCACTTTTCTTTAAGGTCATATTGAATATTCCCAATTATTAATTAATTAAATGAAAAATAAAAAATGATATAATATTCATAGAGCAACAACACTATTAAAATGTGTTATAATTAATGTCTTAGTAAACACATTAAATATTTGCTCTTTAATGCAATAATCTAGGGTACATTTCAGGTTTTTAGTCTTAATTTTCCCAATTAGAGGTCGAATGGCACTGACAAAATCATTTTTATGAGTAATAACCTCCCTAAAGACTTATTGGTACGCTTTTGCGTTAAAATTCAGCTGAACTGTTAAAGATTATTACCTTGTTTATACCTACGCAAGAAGCGCATTAACAAAAAGCTGATTTGACTCAACACATATTTCTTTTAAGCATTTGTACCTATTACCTTGTTTATACCGAAACATAAAACGCTTTGAGCCAGTTCGCTGTGGTTCAAAAAGGAAGCATAAACCAACTTTCAATACGCTCAGAAATTCGAAAGTGTATTGACTCGAATTTGTTTTCAAATCGCTTTTTTATTTCTCACATCGGTTAGAAAACAGGTATAAACACATCATTCATTTGACGCCAAGTGAAAAAAGGCTGCTTTTCTTTATAGAGTCCGTTTTAAACTTGAATTATTATTATAACTAAAGAATCCTTGTTCGCTTCTATTTCGGTCCACCGCGCAAATTAATTATCAAAGAAATATCGAATAAAAATAATAAATTTTGAACACTTTTGAATACGGTTTCAGCGAGTGTGCTATAAAGACCGAGGTATAAATGCTTGAAAGAAATATGTGTTGAGTCAAATCACTTGCTAAAACCGTATTCAAAAGTAAACAAAATTTTTACTTTTATTCCATATTTCTTAAATAATTAATTTGCGCGGTGGACCGAAATGGAAGCGAGCAAGAATTCAAATTTGTTATAATAATAAATAAAATTTAAAACGGGGTGTATAAAGAAAACCCGCCTTTTTTCACTTCGTGTCAAATGAATGATGTGTTTATATCTGTTTTCTATCCAATGTGAGAAATAAAAAAGGGATTTGAAAACAAATTCGAGTCAATACACTTTTGAATTTCTGAGCATATTGAAAGTTGGTTTATGCTTCCGTTTTGGATCACAGCGAACTGGGTCAAAGCGCTTTATGTGTTGGTATAAACAAGGTATATGAGTTAAGTTTGCCTGCCTCAAATCAGCAACAGATAAACTTTCTAATGATGGCACATCTTCTAAAAACATCGATAGTAAAAACACGTCGATGTTTTCAAAAAAATTTTAAAACATCAATACTATCGATAATGCTCCGATGTTTTTGCAGCTCTATTATTTATAACTGATATTTTTAGTACATGCAAGTCCGTGCAAATGCATATGCAGATGATATTCAGCTCTACTTGTCAGGACCTCTTGACCAATCAGTCTCCTTGTGCTCTGCGTTTAACTGTGATCTGTCCTCTATATCACCTTGGGCGTTAAAAAATGAGCTTTGTCTTAACAGTGATAAGTCCTATGTGTTGCCTATTTCTAAACGTCGCATTGCCTTTTCTGCCGTACCTCACTTATATATTAATAATAAGTCTCTTAAATTTGTGTCTAAACCTTGGTTTTTTTAATAAACTCTAGTCTTTCCTGTGATGATCACGTGAACTTCATAATAAGCAAAGTATTCATAACTCTACGTAATTTAAGAATGTCTGCGTCCTTTACGCCGGTCGACATCAGGAGAAAACTTGCAATACAACTGATTTTGCCAATAATCTGTTACCCTGAATGTATTTACAGCAAGCTTAGTTCTCAACCTGCCCATAAAATTGAAGTAGTTTCAATCACGATATATATTTGGTTTGGCTAAATTGGATCACATTTCTAGTTGGAGATCTCGCCTATTGGGCTGTGAGATATCTGAGTACTGGAAAGCAAGGAATGTATTTTTTTATTCTGTTTAATGTCGGATAAGCTACCTATCTATCTGGATAATAAGCTGACCTTTCCAAAATCTGCCCGTATAAGCGACTTAATTGTACCTAGTTATAATTATCTTAACTCTGCAAGACTATTTTTTGTCAACGCCACGCGTTTATGGAATTATATTCTAGCTGCTACTCACTGCAGCTTAAACAAGGGCATCTTTAGGAATGTGTTGTTTTCGTACTTTCGTCAATGAGTTTTTGTGCTCTGAGTTTCGCTATCTGCTAGGACTATCATATGCGTATCAGAGATTGGCAAACGATGCTGCTTTTGTGACTTTAAGCCTGCTAACATTAAAAATGGGGGATGAACGAACACCAGCGCATAGCGTGCAGTGCTTGCAAATACAGCCACCGCAAGTGAACGATACTTGTAGCAGCTCATACTGATGTTGACTTCGGCAAATCAGTATTCAGAGTGAACGTGAACTCGTTCACTTGTTTTGGCTGTATTTGCAAGACAGCACGCTATGCGCTGGTGTTCAGTCATCCTCTAATTTATTTTCGGTATCGATACTACCAAGTCAACGCGCTGCTCAGTATACAAAGCAGCAGTATTGATTGAGTATGCAATAGTTGGCGTTCAATGCGTGCCAGTCCCTGATGCGTATGTATGCACAGTGACGAGCAAAACTGTAATATGGTGTAACACTTTTTATTTCAGCCACCACTATATTTCCAAGTTCTAACGACTTGTTGTACATTCTTGTTGGTACACCCCTACTCACTCTCTCATGACGATTTGAAGTCAATACAACAACAATACAAAAATCAGCAGACAAAAATGTAAATTAAGGCAAATGTTATAGTTTTGCACTCACTCTCAGTTCTACATTTTACAGTTATCTTTTACTTAGTTGGACGTCAGATGACTTTTTTCTGTATTGTAACTTATTGAAGAAGTGATCACCAGTAAATAATGTGGTTAATCAGGAACCATAAATTTAAATAATTACTGCGGAAAGGCGGGACCGCAGGAAAAGTGGCAAAAAATGGTGGAGTTTGCTACTTGAAAATATTAAGACAGAAAAAATATAGCCTAAGGTGTTCCAAACGACAAAGGAAGTCTGTCAAAAAAATTACGGTCCGATATCTTGTGAACTTAGCAGCAAGTAGCGATGCAGCCACTATTACAGAAGCGCTTAAGTATTAAACTTTAATACAAATGAGTAGACAGCGATGCGAAGAATTGCCAAATTGAGCGCAAAGGTAGCACAAAGGAAGGAAAAAGCAAATTTGATCAAAATATATGTGCGAGTGTGGCAGCATTTTGCTGCATCGCACGAAAACCGGACCGTTGCAATAAAAAACACATTTTTAAGTTTCACTTGAAGGTTGGTCTGACAACACTAAATTAATCGCTTTCAATCAGATGGCCGGGCATGGTATTGGATCAAAGACCCAAATTAAGCCTGTAACTGTGAGTTACAGTGGTCGGTCAATAATAGTTTGGGGTTGTACTTCAAAAATTATGTTGGTTCGTTAGTACGAATTATGCGTAAGGAACACATGTTCATATTTCAACAAAATTTGCAAGATGTAGTGGAAAAAATGAGAGTTTCTGCTGAAAAATCACCCAAAACAGACTGCACATGTTCGCAAATACTGGATACAAAAGCAAAAAGTTGCTAATTTGAAATTACCTCCACAATCCGCGGACATGAATCTCATCGAGAATTTGCGAAATGAACTAAAAGCACAGCTTACTAAGTATCCAAGTCCGTCCAATGGAGTACATGAGCTGTGAAAGCAAACTGAGGATATATGGGAGGATGTACCTCCAGAATTTTTACAGAGATACAACAAAAAAAGCAAAAGGGTACTGAACATTGTGTTAATAGTTCTTTTTTTTTCTGAAAATTTTAAAAAAGTTCTTAAGAGTATATGAATGCAAAACTGTAACATTTGCATTAATGTACATTTTTGTCTGCTGGTTTTATTAGGTTCTTTCCCTAACAATCCGGACCGGATCGGGTAATTAAAGAATAAGCGAAAAGTTTGCTCTCAAAAATGGAACATAATCCAGAAGTACGGGA